CGCGCACAGACGAATACAGAGTCTACCGCGGTGGTCTGCTTTTTGCTTCCCTATAGGCGCGCATTTTTGCAACCAATGCTGGCGTAGGTAAACCGCTTATCCCTGAAGGAAGGAGGGGAGGGCGTTAATTAATTTCTCTCCACCTTTTTGTCAGCATCGGGGCTCGCAGGAAGCTGGAATTCTAGTCATCGTGCCAATTTGTATGAGAAAGGTTGGGAGGAAGCTTCTCAACAACGCCGCCGCCACACATTTGGCTCTTTCAAATTGAAGCACTATCAGGGGCTGCTGTGACCGTAGTCTTATCCGCAATTCTATGTGGTTGTGTCTGGCCATGACACCCAACATGAGCGGATGCTGCGATATTCATGGTTTTGGCATTGAAAAATCGGCAGGAGTTTGCTTGGTAGTGGTCTTGGATACAACAAGCCGTAGGTTGTTTTTATACGCTAACCGTGAGAACGTTTTTTCTAAGTTGATAAAACTGATTTACCAAAAAAGGATTTTGTGAAAATAAGAAAAAAAAAGTCGTAAAAGTTTGTTGAAATTATTTAATACGGTGGCTATAGGCCGACGGCGTTGTGCGCGTAAATCGAAAAAAGGCGCAAAAACAAATCGAGCTGGAATCGAGCTCGAATCGCTGTTGACAAACCTAGAAATGTGGAGTTTTGTTCCGCCACTACCAAGGAAACTCCTGCCGAAAAATCATCGAAGCATTACTAGTGGGGCTTTGAAAAACCGCTGAAGAGGGAACGTTATCATAGCTTACTTTCTACGCAGCAGCGATCCGACTCTTGACTGACTGAATTTGAGTTTCCTCTGTAAATTTCATCATATTCTGTAAAGACAAAAGTTTCATTACTGTCCACTTGGGAGGGGATTTTGTGTTCAAACGCTTGTGCCTGAAAGAAAAGGGTGTTTACTTTGAATATGTTTTGAGGAGTCCTCATTATTATTTTCGCAGCTTATTGTGCCCTACTTCATTAATACTTCTGCCGAAGCTGTGAGTCGTAGGATAAGTGGAATTTCCTTTGGAAAAAATGCGTTCTACAGGTAAGTTTTAAAGTGTGTACGTGTTTTCAGCCACCGCTACTAGGCCACCTCCGATTTGACTCAAGCCACTGTATTAGCCGCAGCTCTGATCCGCGTAGTAGTTCTAAACAGGTTTATGCACAATTCACTCCCTTGCGCTTTCTCTAGCACAATGCAAGTTCCCATCTCTTGAGACAGGCAAACTTCTTTCATTAGACTTTTAGTTATATTTGGCGTTTTTGAACATCACCACGTTATGTCATCACTTCTAGTTAAAGGCTTGTAAAAAACTGTGCTCACTGTTTAACAACTTTTAACTTCCACTGAATAAAAATTGACAGGTGGTGGTCTGAACCATCAAGAAAAGACGACTCTTTTGTCTCTTCTCGTTTGGGAAGAAATCGTGCATTTTGATGTGGTTTTTGAACGCAGGCGTGTGATTCCGTGATTAAAGCATGTGAAGTTACGGGGACAGCCGGTTGATTACCAAGGACTGCCTTGCGTACTTCTATCACAGTGCGTGCTGTAAACCATTAGTCGGCAGTGGAAGGCTTTTTTTCAGTTGCCTAAAATGCTGGAGTTAGGGATACTGAGTCAGCATCCGCCTCGAATGACCTCGTGACAATGTTAGGGGATGACTTTGCCCAAGTAAGCTGTAGAGGTAGTCATCATCTCAAGTATAAACGACAAGATAACTTGAATAAGTTGTAGTTTTCAGCACTGCCATGTTAACCTTCAAGTAGAGGCGCACGAACACGACTGGCTTCAATAACCACTCTTGAACATCATAATATTCAATGGGTGTTTTCGCAGCCGATTTGGTGCGCACGCAATGGGTAACTCCAGTCGAACTAGCTTCTTTAAAACCCAGCAGTTCCTCCCCGCTTCATCTTCTTGTAATCACGAAGGTTGGGGCAGAAAATGGTCAGTACGCCCTATTTACTGTGATCTTAAAGTTCAGTACTGTCGCCCACCGAGCAGCTTCCGACATTAGACCAAGTTCACAATCTGTCTACAAGAGTGAATAACTGACATGTCAAAGATGTCCGCCGCGTGCTTCATAGCAGCCTGGAAACAAGCGCGATGACTTGCGATGCATCTAACGCACTCTCTCCTTCCCTATCTTGACCAGATGCAATGGCCAAGTCAAGAAGATCAGAGTTGAGAGAGGGTG